TGCACCGTGATCCAAGCAGCAAGTAGGACGGAGTCACTCTCATTTCCAACTATGAAATGGCACTCTTACAATCTGAGCAAAGTGAGCCACAATATAAACCACACAGGATAGAGGGAACTTACTTTCTGAGCTCATAGCTAGTGTGGGACAGTTGATGTTTATAATGAAGATGGGATGATAGTGGCACCAAGGCCAGTCAGGATTCCTACCCTCTGGTGCCAGACCTATCATCACTTAGTCAGATACAACTTTAGCCTCTAAGATGCTGAACCCGCAATGCTGAATGGACACTGAAGTATCATTTCTCAGGAGGGTCTCTTGGAAAGAAGAAGGAAGGGGAAAATGGGTGGAAGGAGAGAGAAAAAGGAGAACGTTATTCGGTAAAAAAAAAAAAATTATGGTACCCATTATGTGCACAGTCTTCTTATAGATACCAGAAATAGAGCAGTGAATGAAACAAACAAAATCCCATGCACTCCAATGAGAGAATATAGACAAATTAATACAAATTTTAAAAGTACGTAGTATGTGGTGATAGTAAAGCAAAGAAGGAGTTGGAAGGGATGATGCTAGTGTTCAATTGTCAATTACATAACAAAATAGAAACAGTGTGACTTGTTCGATGGATTTACTTAAGGTTTTTATGTAACATTTGAAACATATAAAACAGTCCATGTAAGTTCTGAAACATAATGAATACCCATGAACTTAGCCCTATTACATAACAAAATAGAAACAGTGTGACTTGTTCGATGGATTTACTTAAGGTTTTTATGTAATATTTGAAACATATAAAACAGTCCATGTAAGTTCTGAAACATAATGAATACCCATGAACTTAGCCCTAACTCCAAGAGCTAGACACCACCAATCCCATCATGTGCTCTTCCCTCTTCTACACCCCTGCTTCTCCTTAGAAGAAAGCAACTTCCATAAATTTGTGATTATTGTTTCATAGTAATGTCATATTCTCTTTGCTATATCCTACTATATTTATTGACTGATAGATCAAGGATAACCTGACCACTACCCCCTAACCTGGCTTTCTACAGACAGACATCAGACCACCTCAGTCAGACAGCATCATAAAATTCCTATCTTATGTTTAACCTGCCACACTAAAATTCCATTTTTACACTTTCTATCTTCAGCTGGATATTGCTTTGCCTGAAAAACCTTCTTCTGCACTAAGATCATTATTATTCATTCTTGTCCATATTATTTACTCTGCATGAAAGCAGGGAGAGTACAGCACACCTTCTCCCAATGTGCATACACAGAACAGACCCTAGTGACCAGAACATTCTTTATCTCTTGAAAGATGAATCTGCAGCCCTCAAACCTCCAGCCTCCCCATCCCATCCAAAAGCACACCCTGTGGGTCAGGTGCCTATGTCAACATCTGGCAGTATCTCTTTAGAGGCCTCAGGAAGGCACGTGGTAGCCAGTGACTGGATTTCTTTCATCTCCAGATCTTGCCTGTGGGCTAATGGCCATCCCCAGATCATCCAGGATTCTCCAGGTGTGCAAGGACCTGCAGGATTTTGACAAATTCCAGCAGAGCTGGCCCTTTACAAATGGATGACAGCAGGCTGTGAAAAGCCCGATGCATACATAAACCAAAAACTGCGGTTCCCCCTCTTGCTCACTGATGCTTGAAATTGCTTTAAGGAGAGACAACAGCTTTCACCTTTACAAATGGATGACAGCAGGCTGTGAAAAGCCCGATGCATACATAAACCAAAAACTGCAGTTCCCCCTCTTGCTCACTGATGCTTGAAATTGCTTTAAGGAGAGACAACAGCTTTCATCTCACAACTAGAGAAACCTTTGAAGTCCTGGGTGAACTAACTCATTGATTTAGACTAATACACACTGCTGTATAAATGGACTGAAGGATTGGATGCTGCAATGGGCCCCTTAAAAATGGGTATGAAGTGACAAGGGGTACAGCAGAGAAAGACAGGGGCTTTTCTTGCTTCCCTGGACACTTAAAAAAAAAAAATCTTGAAATCAGACTTGACCTAGAGTCATATCTGGCTCTACTGCCAGCTGTTTGATCACAGGCAAGTTCTTCAAAGTTTTGAGCCTGTATCTTATTTATAAAATGAAGATTATATCTATTGTCAGAGTTACTGTGAGACTTTGATGCCGTTATGTTTGTAAATGTGTCCCCAGCACAGTGACCACATTCTACACGTGAATATTTTCTATCTTTCCGTTGTCCCCAACCATCTCAGACTCTGTTCCTCTCCACTTTAACTCCATCCTCCCGTCTTAGCATTATAGAGGTTAAGAGTGAGGAATCTGGAACCACAGCAACCTGGGTTCGAATCCTGATTAATCCTGATTGTTTTCTTGGGCAAGTTACTCCTCCACTCTGTGCTCAGTTTCCTCCTCTGTAAAAATGCAGATAATAGTACTTGCCTCATTGGGGTGGCAGTAAGGATGAAACGCATTATTAATAGGTGTAATGTACCTATAGCAGTCCTAGCACAAAAAAGAGCACTGCAAGAAGCGTTTGCTACAATCATTCCCAAGGGCTTCTCCTCACTTGCCCACCTTCCACAAGCCAGAAAATCATTTGAAGCTCCTCCGCTTCCACTCTCCAACCTACAAAAGCCCACTCTCGATTGCTGCCCATTCCCGCCGGCTTCCTAAGGCCCCAACCCCGTCCTTAACCCGCCAGGCCGTCCGCGGCGCTCTGGCGGGACTCGGGGAAGCAGAGGTGGCGGGCAAGCGGGGGCTCTGTGACGTCGCGCCCCTGGCCGGGGACCAGGCAGCGCACAGCGCGCGCGGGTTGCCAGGCGAAGGCGCAGCGCTCACAAAGCCCGGAGCGCCCCCGCTCCTCGCGTCCTGGCCGGTGCCGCCCAGCGCCCAGTTCTGCTGCTCTCCTCCTGCCCAGGGTGCGAGGCACTGGATCTCTCCCCACACCTCCCGCCTGAGGCCGGGAGCGAGGCGTCGCCTGAAGTCACACAGCCCGTTTGAGAGCGAGAGCCTGAGGTAGCCACCCCGAGGGGACGTGGCGGGAGGGGAGCGCCCCGAGCGCGCTGAGGGGCTGCTGGGAGCAGAGGGACCGGCCCGCACGACGGGCCCCTCCTTGTTCACAGAGCAAGGTCAAGGCGCGGGGATTGTTAGGAGGATGCCACTACTTTTTTATGATTTTTTTTTTTTTTTTTTTTTTTTTT